TCATTGGACATGCCCCTGGTTTAATACGATGTATTTAATTCATAACCTAATGAGTGATATATAAAAAGAGGGAGATGAACCCTGCAATTACATTTATGTGAGTCTGTCACCTTATTTGTAAAACCTTAGAGTCATTTACATTCAAATTAGAACAAATGAGTGATTTCACAAAGTGCAGTGATAAATGACCATAGCAGCCCAAGACAAAACTGTATTTCCTGTGAACACATTAACAGTTTCCTATTATTTGTTAAAAATTACAAGGCATATTGCCCAGTGTGGTGTGAATAATGACTTTTTTACTGATTAGGTCAGAAAACTAATATGTAGCAAAATAAATAATTTTTCTTTTCATTTTTTCTGATTTTTGCTTTAAATTAACTACTGAATTCTGGTGGATTCACACTGCCACCTGCTGCCTCGGAGTAGATACTAAAAGTATATTCCTATCAAAAGGAGTTAATTCACCCCTTTGGTGGTCTTATTCAGAAAGTCTAGTGAGGGTTCTTTCTTGTCAATATATTTCAATTGCATTTCATAATAAAGGCCGATACTTGGCAAACAAAAAGAAAACTTGCTAATCAAATAATAGGATATAGCATTTATTTGGGGGAGAGAGTACAAAATGTACAAACTTTTTTTTTGAAAGCTAATTACAAAAAAAGACATTTTCAGCAAAGCATGTGTATCTCCTAATATATCACTTTCAGGGGATACAACACAAAGTCCAATGGCCAGTACCCCGATCTTATGAAAGGGGACGGTTTGGAAGGGTGGTGTGTGTGTGTGTGTGTCTGTGTTGCCTACTCCTGGCCCTTGGTACAATCTGAAGGCAATGACTGAAGGCTCTGCTTGTCACTCAGGACCTCTAGCACCTAGTCTTCCCTCCCAATGACAAGTTCCAACATGAAAGGAAGGCCTTAGGGTCCAGAACAGAGCAGACTAGGAAAGGCATAAGGACTGGTGATGAGGTTGGGAAAGAACAGGCCTGGCCTTGGAGAGTTTCTGCAGGGGAAATGATGCTGCCAAATGGTCATTAGGGCAGCTAATAGACATTTCCAAATCCGATCAACATCCTAGTTCTGAATTTTAAGTTTCTCCACCTGTAAAAATAAAAGAACTCTCACCTGCCTTAAGGGGTTGCTTAGCAGAGGAGAAATGGGAATCTTTGTGCAAAACACTCAATACAGATAAGCTCTCAATAAATGCTGGTTCTCTTTCCTGGGAAAGATAATGATGGCTCTGGGGACTATAGTTTGGCATGGATAGAGGATAGAAACAAGCAGACCCCTTAGGAGGAAATTATGAACTGTTATAACATATACCTAATGATGGTGAGAGTCTAAAGAAAGGTCAGAAAATTAGCAATGGAGAAAACAATCAGGTCTGAGAGATATTTGGTAGGTAGCATCAACCCAACTTGGTAATTGATTGGATACGGTGGTGAGGAAGGGGCCTGAGACTATGTCCAAATTTCTAGACAACTAACCCATTGATGGTACCATCAACAGAGAAAAGGGCAGGTTTTCTCATGTTAGGTTTGAATTGCCTGTGTGATGTTTAGGTACAGATGTTCAGAAGCTAATTTTTAAAAAGGTTAGAAAAAAATCAAAGTTTGGGAAAACAAACTGTACTCAAAAAGTTTGTAATGTTTATCTGAGGGACTCGGTAAATCAGTAGACACATCAGAATCTCTATATCCATAGCCCGTCTCTCTGAGGATGGTCTGCAGAGATTCCTTTACAAGATTTAACATAGTGAATGACATTCATGTAAACATGCATACACTGAAAAACAAGAAAATTTACACATTTTACTGAGCCCTTTTTATACACAAATATTGCTCTTTAATGAATTGGTTCATCTTTCTGATGAAATTTTTTTTAATTTTTTAAATTTAAAAAATTTAAATTTAAAAAAATTTTTAAAAAGCACAATGGACAAGGAAGACGAGCAGAGGGAGGAAAAGGGAAAGAAGCATTCACACTTTATTTGGGACTGAATCTCAGCAGATAAGTCTGACAGGTCATGGTTACTAATGATATATAACACGACAGGCTACACAGGACAGAGTCCTACAGCATTTCATTGCAAAGCAAGTGAGAAAGGATGCAAACTTGAGCAGTTGTCTGTAAATCCCTCATCTTGGGATGATGGGCTATTACTGTAGCCATTCCCGTTGTACTCACCCCACCCCAAACCATTTAGCTGCTTTCATTGTCAGGCTACCAGTTAATCTCAGCAACATGCACGGAGAACATGTGTGTTCTCAATGACAGGCCTGATTCGAGGGCCTGGAGCCAAAAATGAATACGGGGAAGACCTCACAGCCTGGGAAGCTAATTTGATGGCTGTCCTCACTGACAAGAGGGGCACTGCTCCTGTGGTGTGGGGTCCCGGCCCTCAGCAGCCTGCCAGAGGAAAAGCAAGAGAAAGGAGCCCACACAGTGGCCTCAAAGTGTCCCTTCCCTTGGCTGGGGGGGAGGGGAGCAGCGGCATCTAGGCATGTGCAGAAGAAGCTTCAGGTCAATGCACTAGCCAATGGCCGCGGAAGCTCAGGGAGGCTTGGGGTGTGGTGAGGAGCTCAGGAAGTGCCCACCCAGCACTTCTCCTGGCATACGCTTCTTAACGTGCCCTGGAGGACAGCAGGAGGTCTACTGAGAGCCGAGCTCTACCCTCCACATCTCTGAAATAATGGTAATTTGAGAACAACAATACCAGACATCTTAGGAAAACGGTTTCACAAACTCCTCATTGGGCAAAGTACCGAACAAGAATGGAGAATATATTAGCCTTGGTTGATGGGTCTTAATTTCTAAGTACATTTTAAGCACTGAAGATTTTTCATTTTAACAGAAAATATTTTATATACCCAATAAAATGATTCCATAGGAAATTAAAAATCAGTTGAGCAATAATACCAAAAATCATAAATAGGTATAGTTATTTGACTATGTCAAAATATGAAAGCAGACTGACCCCTTCTGGTAATTTGATAATCCTAAAAGAGAGGCAGGGTATATATTTGAAAAGGAGTGACATAATGAAGGTTTCTGCATACACATGGCTTTAGTCCTTATAGTCCAAGTTTCCTTCTACAAGTTGGCCATCTTGCAACATCACAGATAAAAAGGAAAAGGAAAGTTACATAAGAGAATGAAATGCAAACATTGGTGAAAAGACAGTGAAAATTCTAACCACTGCTCAAGCAGCCTAATAATAAATGAACTGTCCACAAAATACATCTGTTTGCAAGCCACATTTTTTTCCTCAGCAAAATAATGAATTGCAAGAATTAAATTCCGAAGTGCACACAAGTCACCTGGTATCTCAACAGGTTCATCTGATGGGATAGGGAAAAATACCCATTAACTTCCAACATTCATCTGGAATTCTCATTTAGAGAGAATTATAGGTTTAAGTTTACACACACACACACACACACACACACTGTATATATACTGTATTTTAATGTGCATCATGATAACTAGCACTATAACTAAACTTTTGTCAACACACATCATTAATTATTACCTGCCATGGAAAAAGTGAATCAGGTGATGATGCTGAAAGCACAAGTTGCAATATTTGATGTAGAAATGTCAAATAAAAGTAATTTCAATTTCACAAGTCAAACACACACCTTTGAAGTCTTGTAACCTTTCTATGTTATTCCCATTTGTTACTTGCAGAAAGGGATTAAAACAGGTCTCCCATATCACCCAACAATATTGAGGAGAAAAGAAAGGAAAATAAGATAAAATAGTTAAACATTTACTGTTAGATTAAGTATGCTGAGATAATGATAAAACTTTCATATGCTGTATTTGAACTGCTCCTTAGGTGAACATGGCTGACATTCCTCACACTGTCTCCCTAGGAGACACTGGCTCCTATTTCCTGAGGTTGCTGGGGGGATGAAATAAGATGATATATGAGAAAGAGCTTTGGAAATGACCTAATGAGTAACAGAAGTAAAGGCTATATTTAGAATTAGAGAAATTATTAGGAAGGAAATAACGTAATTAGGCAGAAAAAAATAGGATTTTTCTACTTACTAATAACATGTCCTGTGCACAAGGACAACAGAATTAAATTATGTGGATTTATTATTTTTTAAAGTTTATTTTCACTGTTGTTATAATGCTGTAATATATGCAAGTTAAAGGTCATATGAGTGGAATAAATGGGAGGATCTCAATGTAGGGGGTTAGTACTTAACTCTCTGAAAAATAAAAAGAGATTCACATCCGTACTATCTGCCTAAGATGTCCCATATCTTCCTATTGAAACAAAGGGTTTTCATGCAAGAAGGAAAAAAAGGTCTTTGGAATCAGAAAGGCCTACCACTCACCAGCTATGTCACTTTGGGAAAACTGGGTATATTTCAAATCTTTGATTTTTTTTGCCTATAAAAATGTGCAACGTTGTTGTGAGGACCAAACGTGAAGCATCGGTGCTCGGTGGATGGGAGTTTTCTCTCCCTCCCCCTCGCAGAGCCTTTCCTGAAACCCTAGCAAATCAGGGCAAGAATGCACAGATCACTCATCATTTCTCCAGCATTTATTGCCCAGGAAGTTCATGCAGCAATTAATTATGTATGACTTCACGGTATGTTAGCTACTGTTACTGAAATCCTAAATGACTAACCAACTTCTCATGCATTTCTGCAACCAGAGAGCATTGCTTCAAATCAAGACCCTTCCCAGCGTCATCTCCCAGGGCCCCAGTAGTGAACCCTGTGTGTGCTTGTTGAGTTACTCTGCTGCCCAGGGGTAGTGAGGTGGGCAGGGAGGGTCGGGGACAGGAAGTAGGACATGAGAGCTGCAGCTGCCCTCTTAGGAGCCTCTCAGCCTGTGTCCTGGAGAAATTCTACCACCACAGGCCACATTTCCCACCCCCCTCCCTTCCATTTTACCTGTCACTGGGCTCCAGTCGGTGGGGTACTTGCAGGGAGAAGGAATGTGCAGGACATACTAGCAGGATGCAAGCTCACATACCTGGATGAGATAGTGGGAACATAAATTGAGAAGCTCCAACAGCTGTAGGTGACTGCCAGCTGCTAACACATCCTGGATCACGCCTGGCTCCAACAAAATCTGTTGTTTTTAAATAAAAGAAAGCTATCAGTTACTTACAAATTAATACTTGCTTACTATGCAAATACACTGTATTTAAATTGCTGCTTAACATACTATACCTGAATTAATACTGTTCCTTATTATGGAAGCCAGTTCTCTTTTTTCCATTCTGATTAATGAGCTGTGGTCCTTATTCTAACAGCTAAGTTCTCATTCCCAATACTCATATCTGGTGTATAAAACTCCATACTTAACCACTTATTTTTGTAGGAGGATACGAACATTTGCAAAGAACAATATAATAGCCTTCAAATTCAGTTAATGATGAATATAATCTTATAAACACAAAAGAACTGAATTTTAGTTTTTCAAAGTATATTTCAGAATGTTATTCTTCAGTAAATCACAGCAACAGTATGGTTAACAGGTATTTTAGAGAAATGGGGCTTACAGTTCTCCTTGAAATACAGGACCAGAGGTGGATATTACTCCATTTTACTTCTAAGTCCTACAATAGTAAACTTCAACCACAAAGTTTCATTTTTTTTCCTTCTCAATCTCAGATTCTCTAATCCTTTATGTTTCAAATAAAATATGTAGAAATAGCATTTTCAGAATATAAAGGCATCACAGAGAAGCAAAACTTCCCCAATACACTGGTGATACCAATTCTTCTTTTTTTTCTGGTTAGGTCCAACTTTGTGCCTACTGCTGCCAGCTCTTGAGCTGGTGAATAGGGCTGGAGAAAAACACACAACTAAGTTGACGAAATTCACTTTACATGCAAGACTGCCAGACACCGGAGGCCTTTAGGGCTGCTCCAGCCATCCTAACTCATTTCCCAAGCCCAGTGACGCCCAAGGTCTAGTCTCTGGACCAGCATCAGCATCATCACCTGGGAACTCGTGAAAACTGCAAATTCCTGGGCACCTCCCCAGACCTAACTGAATCAGAAACTTTCAGGTGAGGCCCAGCAACTGCTGTTTTTGATGCAGGGAAGCCAGTGCTTCTGATGCAGGGAAGCCTGAAAACACTGATGGGGTCAGCTCGCTCTCACCCTCTATTTCTTCTCCCATGCTCCTCTCTCCTCAAGCCTCCGCCTCCTTGTCTCTTTCCTTTTTTTTTTTTTTTTCTTTTTTGTGGTACGCGGGCCTCTCACCGCTGTGGCCTCTCCCGTTACGGAGCACAGGCTCCGGACGCGCAGGCTCAGCCGCCATGGCTCACGGGCCCAGCCACTCCGCGGCACGTGGGATCTTCCCGGACCGGGGCACGAACCCGCGTCCCCTGCATCGGCAGGCGGACTCTCAGCCACTTGCGCCACCAGGGAAGCCCTCGTCTCTTTCCTTACTTCAACCTCATGATCTTCCCAAGGCTCCCACCACCAAGTCTACCAACCCACCTACTCATATCTGTACCAGCACATTTTCCTCTCCTCAACACTCCCCTTGTGCACTAGATCCCACCTCCCTCTGCCTGATACCATCCCCTCTTGTTCCTGCGTCATCATCTGTTCTCTTCTACTGGATGATAACTCCCATCAGCATACAAATATGCCATTACAGCTCTTATCTTAAGAAATAAAAATTCCCTCCCTTGAACCCACAGATCCGTCCATGCTCCCCTTCATAACAAAGTTCCTCAGGGAAGCTGTCTATATAAAATGCTGCTGTTTGCTCTGCACTGCTCTGTCTCAAACCCACTCCTGTTGAGTTTTGTTTCTACTGTGCCTCTAAAAATGCTCTCATCGAGGTCACCAGTGACCCCTAAAACCAATAGCCATTTCTCAATATTTAACCTTACTCAAGCCAACAGCAGTTAGCAAAACTGACTTTCCTCTTCTGGAGTGATTTCTTCCCTTCCCTCTAGCACGACGCTCCCTCTCTTGGTTTCTTCTACTTCAATAATGAGTCCCTTTCCATCTCCTTCCCAACCTGTAAGCTTTGGAGATGCCCAGAGCTCAGTCCCCAGATCTCTTCTTTCCTCTCTCTACTTACTCCGTGGATGATATCATGGCTTTAAAATTATCTACACACTGATTACACTCAAATTTGTTTCTCCAGCCCCAAACTCACCCTTGAACTCTAGACTCTGATATTCAATGGCCTATTCTGTATCACCACTTGGATGTCCAATGGGCAGCTCAAACTCAACGTGCCCCAAACTGATCTCTTCATCCTCTCCACCAATCACCCAACCTGCTCCTACCCCAATCTCACCATTTCAGCAAACAGCAACTCTCAGTTATTTACCCTAAAACCCGAGTCATTCTTGATTCCTCTTCTTTTCCTCATACCTCACATCTGATCCATCAGCCACTCGTTAGCTCTATCTTCAAAATAGTTCCAGAATCCAATCACACTCAGTAGCACTTCCATCCTTATCACTCTAGTCCAAATCACTGTCTTCCCAGATTTACTGCAATAGCTTCCTAACTAGTTGAACTGCTTTCCCCTTTGCCTCCTCACACTGTTTTTTAATAATATGAATCAAACAGGTGCTTTAAAAACACAAATGAAATTATGTCATTCTGTTATTCAGAACTCTCTGACTTTTTATCTCATTGGGAAAGAAAAAAAATCCGAAGTCTTCACTATACCATATAAGGTTCTTTGAATACGCTGAGCACCTCAGTGTTTACAACTAGCTGTTTTCTCTGCCTGGATCACTCTTCGTCAAGACGTGAGAGAGACTCACTCTCTCATGTCCTTCAGACCTCTGCCCAGATATCACCTGATCTGAGAGGGCTTCTCTGACCATCCTATGTAAAACAGTACCCCACTGTCCACCACCCCATTCCCAATCTCCTTACTTTGCTTTATTCTTCTTCACAGCACTTAACATCTCTCAACATAGTACATATTTATTTGTCTATTTGATGATTTTCTGTTCCTCCACTCACTAGGATATAAGATCCAGGAGAGTAGGGACTTGGTCCATTTTGTATACCCAGCACTTAGAACAATGCCAAAGAAAAAGCTTTCACTTAATATTGATGAATTTACCTTATAATAATTTATTGATGAATTGATTTATATCTAGAATTTTAAACAATTATTTATTTTTATTTATGGTCTCACCGCGCGCAGCATGCAGGATCTTAGTTCCCCAACCAGGGATCAAACCTGTACCCCCTTCATTGGAAGCTCGGAGTCTTAACCACTGGACTGCCAGGGAAGTCCTCTAGGTATGTTTTTAAATTCAGAATTAATTTTATTAATTAGCCTAACATGAGAGGAGAGAGGGAAAAGGACAATACATTTTATTTCTGAACTATTAAAGAAGTGAAAAAGCTAAGCACGTGTGGCAAAAATACCAACACTCATCTTATTCTGAAAATTCTTTATAGCTCCTTTCCTGTCTAGTCAGAGGGAGAAATCTGAATTTCTCCAACTCCTCACAGAGAGAGGTTTTGACTGACATTCAGGAAATTATTGCAGCTCCCTTTACAGGAGCAAGGATGCAGTGTGTTCTTACAGAAGAGGCATGGCCTAAGGCACAGAATGGGGAATAGATGGATTAGAAAGGCTAGTCTTAGCCTTTAAATCCTGTCAGTTGCGCTTATTTCACACAACTGGCATTCATGATAACCTCTAAGGCTCGGTAATGCCTAGCACAAAGACAAATATCACAGAAAGACAAGATGAATATTCCATAGCACGTGTAACACGTCCAGCGGGCCAACTGGAGAAACCTCACAAGAGAAACACATACTGGGATTGTTTTTGTCTTTGTTTCTTGTTTTTCGTTCTGTAGTTTTTTTTTCATCTCTCATTATAACATAAGTTTTTCTAAAAGATAAAGGGAGTGGTTTGAAAAAAAAAAACCTACCAGAAAAGCTGGGTCTCACTTATAGAAACAGAACCAGCATTTCCAAGTTCCACTTACACTAGTCTTTTAAATTCAGCTTTGTTGCTCTTTGGTGACTGGTTGTCCTCATATATTTTTCCAGAGAATTTGTGTTTGGGCAGAATAACAAAGGTCCAATCTCCTCACGAGGTATAGTATGGTGAATCTATCTGCTGCCTAGAAGAACTGGGTGAAATGGCCTTTTGTAGAAGGAATGGCTTTCCCCGTCAGTTTATGGATGACAACTAAGATCACTAAGTTTAAGTGCTGCAGAAACACATACCCATCCACATCCAGTCTGGCACTCACAGCAGAAGAGACGGGAGGAAGGATCCTTCCAGGACCACCCACAGGAGGGAAGGGTATCCCCTGACGGTTCAGAGCACAGAGTGGTGGAGGAGGAGGTTGACACATCTAGTCACTCATCAGACTGGAGGAGCTTAGCTCAGACAAGCCATCAACAGTGGACAAGGCAAATGTCTGAATAACAAAAGAGATCAAGAAATGCAGGATGCATAAAGCCAAGTGGTCCAGAAAGCAGTGGGGAAGACGAAAACCACTAAAGCCACCTAACTGGGCTGGGCATTGCCTCTCTCCTCAGCGATGCTCCCCTGCCTGGGTGGAGACAGAGGGGGTGTCTTCAGATTGGACAAAGAGGTTCTGATACAATTTCGGGTGGGGCACGGGCGCCTCTTGTTCACAGGCCATCTGTATACAGTATGCTCTCACTGCCACCCACTCACACCTGACCTCCGGGTAACAGAATACAGGGGGCTGAACTTGAAAGAGGGGAGCTGGACAGTACTAGCTGGGGAGGTAACAATCTCATTACATAAGCTTTTCCTGCAGCTGGTGGCATGCTAGGCCAGGTGAACCGAGGAAAGGTCCACAGCGGACCCCTGCCCCAAATGCTCAGACTCTGCACTCATTTTGACTAACTGAGGATAAGAACTGGTCCGTGGCTGTAGTCAGGGTGACACTGGGTGTGGTGACAAAGTAACAGAGGTAAAAGCCACAACTGTAGTTGAAGATGGTGGTCTCCAAAGACACCAGTGAGAGTTGCTGCATCAGAATTCAGGCATGAAGGGGTCCACTTGCCCTGCCGCAAGGAGGCACTCTTGAAAACTCAGTCCAAAGGTATCGTCTGGCCACCGATCCAAGCAGGGTTGAAT